AAGTTAGGAAGTTTTAGTTGCCGTTATTTAAAACTGTAAAGTAAATCATCACTGTAAAAGTTGTAGAACATGCTTAAACACAACCCTCATTAAACAGCTACAAAACAGGAACAGCAAAGTAAATTGTGTGATCAACTCGAGCCACGCTATATCGGTCTTTACGATACAAAGAAAAGCTCACAGAGTTCTTAAAATAGGAGTTCTCCTTTAACATGGGTCATGTTTGAATTTAACAAACTATTAAACGGATAATACATTAACTCCAGTAAAATTACTTTTACGTTCCACATTCCCACGATAAAATCATTGACAATGGGGCTGCACAATATTAGGAAAACCTGCCATATTTGATAACAGTGATTAATATTGTGATGACGATATTACTTGCGATAATAAAAACTTAACTCAGGAACAAAAACAATCAGAAACAAAAATTAAATAAAACATAAAAATGAGAAAAGCATTCGATGTGACGAAAGGGAAAAAGAAAACAAGTAAAGGCAATCAGTGGATCCCGGGAAAAGCAGAATTAGCAGAAAGAGCAGAACAAAGCTAACTCAGGTGTTTGCTAACCATCAAAATGAAGTGCGTCCTCCTCGGGGGCGGGCATCTAACCTATGAGAACCCACCCAATTGGCCAAATGGGTGAAGAGCTCTATTTGATTTGTTAAAAATACATCATGCTTCCGTTTGATTGACAGAATTCATTATGTGTAGCAAACATTTGAGCTGACCATTCATTGTGATATTTATCTGTTCTTTGCAATATGCATATTGTGCATGCTGATATCGCGATAACGATATATTTACGATATATTGTGCAGCCCTAATCCACAAATATAACTTTAGAAATTCTCCTTAATGTAATATTATAACAAGCAGTGGACTGTCTGAAAATCTTCAAAATGTAAAAAGATCTTCCTCTGAAGCTGATCTGGCTGCAGTGGCTCCACTCCCCTCGTCCATCTCTCTCTCTCTGCTGCTGAACAGCAGCTCCAGACTTGGCATCCATCACCAGCAGCAGATATGCAATCTTGCTGTGCAAACAATTAAGGGCAGCTCCTCTGCACTCAAAACTACTCACTCGTGTTGCTGCGTTGAGGATTAACACGGTGTGCTTACACATTAACTTGTTAGTCACACACATGAATGGCATTCCTTAGAACTGTATTCGCCAAACGAAGGGGCAATAAAACATGATGTGGAGCTACCTGTTGTTGGGTTGGTTGCTTCTAGTTACTCTTAAACCAAGCTTCTGGCCGGCCACTTTCAACTTGACATTGATGCAAAAAAGATGCAGCCCAGGAAAAATAGGCCTCTAAAAAAGCAAATACACTTGTGGTTTTAAACTGTGTGGACGGATACACAGACAGGAATAGATTTTAGAAAAATATTGATTATTGTGAAGACATGTTTTACTATATGACAGCATTTTAAACCTGTTGAAAATGTACTCTGATAAACTGTCCTCATTGCACAAAGTGTAAAGTTGGCTGATAACCGAGTTCCAGCCTCCAGCTTTCTAATTGCTGCTGCTAAATTATCATCTTCCTCATCTTTCTCAGTAACATATTTAATCTCACACAGAAGAAACATTCAGCTGGTTATATTCTGCAGGATGAAAACATGATGCACCAAGCATTAAGTCCTTTGTCTTTTTGTGTTTCTGTGAGCAGAAAGCAGATTCTAGGTTATTACAGGCGTATTCCTTTTTTCTTATCTTCAGGTAAAATGTGGAAAATCTGCCATCAACAATAAAGCTGTTTACAGATTTTACAACTTTCAACTCCTAGGTGGAAAATATGGCTGAAACAAAGAAACTTGTGAACACTGATGTTTCTTATCAGCTGAACTAATTTGTTTACATTGATTGGGTGTGTGTGTGTGTGTGTGTGTGTGTGTGTGTGTGTGTGTGTGTGTGTGTGTGTGTGTGTGTTGATAAATGTTATAAATGCTGTTATTTGATTGTCTCTGAAAGTCCGACCAAGGACTAGGTTTGCAAATTAGCCTCTGGCTAGAAAACCTCTGTACAAAACAACGGCTGCATTGCTTTTATATGTAACATTGTCTTTTGTGCTGTCCTTGTACAATAAAACCAAACTAAACTAAAGGAAAGGAAATGTTTTTCTGGCTGCTCAAGCAAGCAACTTTTCAAAAGTACAAAGGTCCAACCCCCTTGCTACTTGCTTTCCCAATTAAGTCGCACCTCCAGAATACAGTGATGTGAAATGCTTGTACCAAATGGTTCAGTTTAACATTTTGGATCCATTGTTGGCACCTTTTCTTCCATAATTCCTAATTAAATGCACCTATGTAACTGTATTATTGAGTGAATTAGCTAATATAGTGTGACACATTGCCGTTCTCCACGTGTTGCAAGGCAGCTAAACCGAATGACAGCTCTGCCAGCTGACAGGATAGGCTTCATTCAGACAACGGGTCCATCACCTAAACTTTTCCCAACAAAACTAGGACCAGACTCTAAGCTGAACATGTAAAACAAACAACTCTTTGAACTACAAGCATAATGAAACATTTGGTCTCTAAGTAGCTGGGCTTGGCGCTGGCTTCACATGCTGCAAAGGTGGGATTTGTGCACATAGAGTGAAATGTGCAAAGAGGAGAGGGATGGTCAGATGAAAGTTTGATGGATGGTTTATCATACAATAATTTCAGACACGATTACAATCATTCTATTCTATTTTAATTGAATTTTAAAGTTTTACACAAGAAAAGGAAAGGGGAAAAAAAGTAGATGAAAAGGCACTCCAGTTTTAAAACATGCGGATTACCTGGGGCTCTTCCCATCATGGGCTCTAAATAAGGAAGTGTTAGTTTGGTGCTATGACACTGAGCTAACAAAAACTGCAGTCAGACTAATTAAATCAAATACCTTTACACTTTAGTAGTTCTATTAATAATATGCACAGCTGTAGCCTTTAGTTATGATTGCAGAAAGAATATAACTAGCAATCCACAATTGAAACTAATAAAAAACCTAACACATCGCAACTAACAAGTTTGCTGACTGGGAATTTGCAGGAAAGTAGCAGTGGGTTGCTTTCATCACCACATCGACTTTCTTTCATTTACAAAAAGAGACAATTTTTTATTCAACACTGATTTGGTGTCACTGGAGGCTTTTTCTATCCGAGATGGAACGTAGATTATAAATAAATGAATTTATAATTGATTACACCAACTATGGGACCACTTCACGTCTGATTTCCTGCTGACCTGGGTTAAGACATAACAGAGGAGCCTATGAAAGCTGCTCTGTTCATTATAAGTGGACCAAAAGTAAACAGGTGGTTGTCGGCTGACGTGGGTGAGCGATACCGGCTTTTGTGACATACAGCAACACTCTAACAAAACACAACCTGCATTTGACTTCCATACAGACAGCATTATGGATACTGCTGATGGATGTGATGCAACTTTCAGGAATTCGGTTTTAAAAAGAAACAACGCGCAGTTGTGAACCTGTCAGAGACAGGTGACTGGAGCATATTTCAGTCACAAGTCCCTGAACGAGAACAAGAATATGAGCGGAATGTCTTGAGTGATATGAAAACAAGCCGTTTCCTTCACTACCTCAGACTGGGCCTCTAAAACATCTACCTTCACACAATAATTCCACTGTGCAGGAAAAGGAGAGATTCTTTAACTGTACCAGTGATAGGCTACAGCATGCATCTAGATAAAGCTCCTCTGAGTCCCAAATAATCCCGAACAGCTGGAATAAAAGTGAAATAAATCTCTGTAAGAACAGTTGCTGCAGTGCAATGTTGTGTAACTAATGTGTCATACCGAGTAAAAGAGCAGCAAAAATCAGTGCATTTAGAAAAATGCATTAACAATCATTTTACCATTGCATGGCAACCCTCCAAATCCTTTTAAAACTGTGTGGAGATTCCTACTCCTACTGTCATTTCTGCAGAAAGGATACAATTAGTCAAATCTTAGGGTGCAAAGTTCACTCGTTTTTTTTTCCCCTGACACATTTGCAGTGTTCTCTTGACTAAATGAATGCCTTGTGGGGGGAAAGCTCTGGTGCTCCTTTTTCAGGAACCATAAGTGAGCCAGTGGAGAGGGGCAGAGCAGACAGCAGGATTCTTATTTCCTGATATCTGGACATCTCTCTTCTGATTGGCTAATAACAACGTGATTCTTCCACTCACTCAGTTTGCTTTGCAACGTCAATGATATATCTCCACAAATAACAAAAGCCTGGAGGAGTTCTGCTCTGTGGTGGAGTTGCTAATGCTAACGGTTAGCTTTCCAGATTGTTCTCTGCTGTTTCCTGGATGCTGAACAGATAATAGCCACAGCCTTCCCCGTCACAAGTCAAGATGGGTGAGTCCATGAAAGCTGGTTTTTCAATGTGATGTAGATCTGTCTTGCTTTTCTAATCCAAGCGTTTCCCCGTCTATTTTCCATCGACTGCGGCTAATGCAGGAAATAGGGGTAGAAGACTATTTTCATGTTTAGCCTGCATGTGAAACTCAGAGTGGCTGACTGATCATCTTTCAAAAATAAACACTCAGTGAACATGCTCTTTAAATTGAGTGTCATTACCAATGAATAGCAGGGATGAAGATCAGGTGTTTAAAACAATAAGCTTTAATAGGGAGGGTATGAAACGGAAACTGTTTTAACCCAAACTCATCACCTTTCTTAATCCAGATTAACTCCCTTTCAACAAGTTTACTTAGAAACAAAAGGCTCAACTAAATTTAAAATTTCTATTTGCAGTTTCAAAAATAGTTTACAGTAGGAACTTTAATAATGTTAAAATTACAGGTGATCTGTTTTTCAGTGATCAGCTGAACTGGGTCAGGTTTTAATTTAGACTGTAAAAAGGAAAAAGAAAGACTATATTTAGGAGTCAAATCTTAAATGATTAATTATGTATTTCATTCACACCCACTATTAATTTTAAAGCATTTTGTGCTCAAATAAAACCTTCGTCTTGAAAAACCAATGGGTGTTTTACTCACCTCTAATACTGGTCCCGCCCCCAAGATAATTTGCTCCACTCCACTGGCAAACCCCTTCTGGCTGAGAGCAGTCAAATGATGGATGAGAAAGTTTGTGCTTTGCGTCTTCCCAGAGCCGCTCTCTCCAGAAATCACAATGCACTGATTCCTCTGTCTATTCAGCATGGCGTGATAAGCCACATCTGCCACGGCGTAAATATGGGGCTCCATATCTCCCAGCGTATGATTGTCATACATCTTCACATATTTTGGGTTGTAGATTGGCAGGAACTTGAAGGGGTTAATGACTATGAGGATGCTCCCAACGTAAGTGTAAATCTTTTCCTGGCGGAAGCGCAAGCGCAGGTTGTCCAGCAGTGAGCGCTCATTCAGCTCTGACAGGCAGCACAGATCTGCGTAGTCACCCTGAGACTCCGGCTGTGGCAGCAGTCCCCGCTCCACCATGCGCCGTCGCTCCTCTGTGATCTGCAGCCACAACTGGAGGCTGCCACCATAGTGAATAGAGCCATCCAGATTTTTCTGCCTCAGGAGGAAGCGGTAATCCTCGCCACCGGACAGTGGTCGGAGCTCTAGAGCCACACGAGGCCAGAGCATCATCCTCTGCACCGGACAGTCGGTCGGGTTGAGAATCCATTCCTCCCCACCGAACTCTTTCACCTCGGCGAGAACATAACACTTGGTGCGATCCAGCTGCAGCCGTTCGATGACCCGTTCGATGGCGTCAGCGGCTGTGGTGGTTTTGCGGGCGCTGATTGGGCAGTAGATGGTGCCCTCTGCCAGGGAACCCGGATAGATGCGCACTGTGAACTCTGAGTTCTCAAAGCGCTGCCGTCGGCCCAGTGTGCCCCTCCTACCGACACCAAGGCCATCTCGAACACTCATGGTGGAGCAGAAGTTCCCATGAGCAGCAGCTCAGCACGGGCACGTCCTTCACTGGGCTGGAGAGGTCACGACCTCAAGACATTACCACTGTAGAAGAGAGGGGTGAGAGAGGACAGATCAACACTCAAGAGTATTTACATTTAAACTAAATACAATGTTGGGTATTTAAACACACAAACACTTCTGTGATAAAGGACCCTGACTTCTACCAAGTACTGAGCTGATATGTGACCAGAGATTACTGCACAGCCCTCCGCAATCTATTAGATTACTAAATTTGTCCGATTATGACACGACGAGCTCATGTGTTATGTAATCTGTTGGGGGGTCAGGTTATTCTGCTGGAGACGAACATGCATCCTCCCTCAGGATAAAGGATAAGTCATCAGGATATACCGGATTATTAACACACATACCCACTCACAAATGCACTCATAAGCTCCTTCTAGCCCAAAGACCAGCAGCTGCCATCCTCGACACCCAATCACACCATTCACAAATTTCCTCTTTAATCACAGCAAAGAGAGATCAGCAGGGTCTACGGGGAGAGAACGAGAAACAAGCTGCTGATAAATACTCTCTGCTTCTGTGATCTTCATCGAGTTTGAGAGTAAAGTTAAACTATATCAATAAATTGGACTCTATAGTTGTTTTTCTAGACAAACGGTTGGTGTGGGGCCCACTGTAGTCTGCTGGACAGCATCTCAACAAAAAATTTATCCATCACATTAAAGGACAAATAAATCAAGCTTGGGTTTTTCAAAACAAATCTTGTTTGATGATACGTGCAGCTTTGACCTGTGGAGAAAGATCATTAATATTTTCAAGTTATTTTCTGATGTTGAGTTTAAGGACTGAAAAATGATTTGTTTTTCCAATTGCTTCTTGACAATGGTGCATTCACAGACCAAACGACATCATTTCCAGGTTGGTCGATCACAACTACACCAATGGGACTGAATGTTTGAAAATGGCAATAACACTTATTCTTAGCTGTGTGACGATGAGCACATAAAGGAGACTATTTAAAGTTATGCAGATAAGGCAGAACTCAAAAGGGGGAACTTTAAAATGTGGAAGTGAGAGCAATAAACATGCAGCATGAGTCATGGCTGAGGAAACTGCATCATGCAGTGAACAAATGTACATTTTCACTATGATGAAGACAGGAGCACACGTTATATCCTCAGTGTAATGCTCTCCTAATTCGGATGATCAAGTCATTTTAATGCTCAGATTATTCTGGTCAGGATTATAGCAAAGGTGGATCTCTAACTTTTCAAAGCATTTCCAGGAACTAAGCATTTCTCTGTGAGAGAATGAGTTTTAACAATTTAGTAGAAATTAGACGTATGCATTAGCCTTGCTTATTTTTGGTACCAAACCGTATTGAAAGTAATGCATTAAAGAGCAAGTAACCCCCTACCAGAGTCTAACTCCACTCCCATTTCCTGTTTGAAAAATGCACCACAAGAAGGCATTGCCTGGCAGACTGAGAGGGTGGAGCCGCCAACAAATACACACCCATGCAGGCTCACAGCGGCACTGTGACATCATATGGTACCTGCTAACATCATATTTTAATTCAAATTTAATGCAGAGTTTTAAACTGAAGAGTTTGTTACACTGACAGTTTAAGGCAGAATATTTAAATTTTAACTTAGAGGCACTAAAGTGACAAATTATTGACTACACATGGCTACAGCATGATTAGACACTCATTTATGTAGGTTATCAGCAAAAAAAAGGTAAGTGGCCTGTCTTTGATATAGCGCCTTCTAGAGTCCTACCCCCCACCCCCCCACCCCCCCCCCGTGAAATGAATAAAAAGTCTGTTATTACTGAAAGTAACTGAAGGTTATTTCTTTGAGTCACTGCTTTAAAATGAACCCAGGTTACAAAACTTTGTGGTTCTTAAAAGATAAATGTTAGTATCAGTTATATTAAAGTGATGTAAAAACCATTCTTAATGTCTTCATTTTTATAAAATTTGAAAAAAAAATAGTTTTCTTCTGGGGAGAAAACCCCTTAGAGAAAAGATAAACAGCTGAAATGGCAGGAAATAATGCAATTAAAGGAAGTGGTAGAAGAAAGTAGTCAAGTGTGGAAAATGGTCAGTATGTCCTCCAGCAGTCTAAGCCTATAGCAGCATAACTACAGGGATAACCTAACCTTTTAGATAGAGGCATGTTGGAGGCAGGGCAAGGGGGAGCAGTATTTATTCTCCACTGTACACTCCACCTCGCTCTACTTTCCCACTTGTCCAGATCTGGGCTAACATCAGGATTTAACCATAGGCCCGATCAAACTAAAATGTTTTAAGCCTAGTCTTAAAAGTAGACAAGGTGTCTGCCTCACAGACTAACGCCGCTCTCACTGGAAGCATCTGCGGCGCAAAACGGCTGTGGAACGGTTTATTCGCGAACTTCAAATCAGTCCTTTCACAACAGGAGAGTCTTGGCAGCGGCACGGCTACCTCGCTGTGTTCTTTGCTGGACTTGTGAGATTACAGATCTTTATGGTTATAGGTTACAAAGCCGCCAATATTTTTTAACAACTGGGCATCATTTAATTAGTTTTCAGCAACATTTTGATGGACATTTCCAGAGAATAACAGTAAAAACTACACATTGTCTCTTTAATTGGTACTAATTTTTATGGATGTGTTTGACAGATTTAAAAATAATAATAATAATAAAATTATTATTATTATTATTACTATTATATTTTTATTATTATTTTATTTCTGTCCCAACTTTACTCTAATGAATTTCTCTAGTTGTCAATTTTATTCACCGTCTAAATGAAGGAGACAATGGATTACGTTCTTTTGGCATCAGCCTGACTGAGCTGCACTGCTGCAGCAGACAACAGGTAAAAACAGGATATGGAACAAAAGGATAAATATGGTTGGTTGGATGATACAGAGCACTCCAGCAGGGAAGTGATCCAGTGCTGCGCCCATTCCTGATCATTTCCTGTTGCTCCATTTCCAACCTGCCATGCTTTACCTCAACAACTCTGATAGTTTTACACAGACACAATCAAACTAAGCATCACCTCTTTACAAACAGCAGAAGAATGCTTGTTTTACCTTTTTTAACCATACAAATGATTGAAGCATGAAGCGGAGTTTATGCAGGCTGTGATGTCTGTGTGAGCTTTTGGACGTTGCTTGCTGCATGACTGTCTGCGTTTTGAGTAGCGAGCTATGGCTTGGCGCTCTGAACAGATGGTCAGCTCACTGCTTAAAGGACAGGGGGGGGGGGGGGGGGGGGGGGGGGGTAGGCTTGGAGCAGTGTTGCGCAGCACAGGGTCACGCCGGTTGCCGCTCTGTTTACAATCACACCAAAACATTTACCCATTTCTGAACAGCCATCATAGATTTAACAAGAGTCTAGCACTTACTAAAATAAGTGAGAAGCTAATGTAAAACGTATGATCTCTAATAAGAGACAAAAATTAGATCTGTTTTCTTAAATTGTTGAACACATCAGCAAAGCAGAAACAAGATTGCTGTGAGTAAAATATTTCAAAACGATATTTTTACACTTCCATGTTATTGGGTGGGAGGACACGTCTCACCAGTCCCCCATGGTTCCTACGCCCTTACCTTTGGGACATTTTTGACAAGAAGAAATATTAAGACCAGAAATTTTAAGAAATATTAAGATAAGCAACAACTGGAGTTATGTTGGATTTAAACTCATTTCAGATTCTAAAATGGAATCTGAAGAGTGAACAGATTTAAGTTTTGGAAATTACTTTTAAAGGGCCGTGAAAGTGACAATAGTGGCGGTGTGGTGTCCAGCTCTAAAAGGAGATTTGGGGTAACAAATTAAACAGAATCATCAAAAGCAAAAAAAAAAATAAATAAATAAAGAAAAGAAAAAGAAAAGAATGAGAAAAATATTTTAAAGATATTGGCCAGAGGCTATATTCATTTGAATGGCATGTGTAAAGAAGTATTAAAACCTCGGATGAAAAAGGTTTTGGGATTTTCACTGCTGGAATTTTAAGAAAATCTGATGTTTCTGACTGGCGCGGGAAAAACACAAACTAACTTCTGGTCTAAGATCTGGACAGCTGTCACGTTTCACAGGGAGCTCTGCTGAAACAGCTATAGAAAACAACCCCCAACTCCGGTGTTTCAGCATTAGCGTTACAGCAGAAAACAATGTGTCATAAGTCAGATGTAGCTTCTGAAGCCTCTGCTAGTTGGTCAGATGTTTTTCCTCTGGGTTATGGCAACAAGAACGGATATTGGATTACCGGAGAAGTTCAACCGGTCTCTGAACCCCGCTAGCTGGATACCACTACCGGAGGTGCAGACATGTTTTGGACTTTTTGACTCAGAAGACCTGATTTGGACACCGGAGAGGATTATGTTCAACTTCAGAACTAAAATCTGTACAGTTTTTTTTACTTTTGTTCAAATATTTCATTTCTGTGCTCGTAGTGATCCCACCAGGAGCTCTCAGCTGACGAGTTCTCAGCTGGACTTAGCTCCATCATACTGTCCCTATACAATTCAGCAATCTACAGATAAATAAAATAATGTGCTGCCAGTTTTACAGCTGCGTGTATGTATTGGAAACTCCGGAAAATATTTAACCGATAGCTTACCGGAATAAATCTTACAGGTGCTCAAGTAAATTGTTAGTTTGACTCGTTTGCAATCCAGGATGACACGGAGGTTCTACCGGTCCCAAGAGGATCTATTGTTAAAATATTGGGAGGTGTGTGTGTGTGTGTGTGTGTGTGTGTGTGTGTGTGTGTGTGTGTGTGTGTGTCGTAGCTTTCCCAAATTAATTGTTTTTTTTCCTTACCAGAGCTAACACGGTTAGCAGTGTTGCTGCAGTCATGCTAACTGGGCTAGTCTGGAGTTCAGAAGTACCAGTGCGGATCTAGATGGATTTATAGATGTAGGTTAATATTTTAGACCAGATCTATGCTACTTAATGCGTGTAGGACACGGAGATATGGCCCAGACATTTAGCTGCAGCTGTAAATGCAATTTTCCGTAATAATTAAGAGCAAGAAAGTAAACAAAATACAGTTATTCACAATACTAACAACAGTAGCTA